CCAACGCCCCATCATTTGTCAATATTAACTTTAATTAGCAAAATTTTCATTTCTTGTGGTCTTTCGTTTTATATTCTGTGCCCCGATTAACTTGACATAGTCAGCGATGGTTCCTCCTTCCTGATATTCTAATGAATCACAATTTGTTTTATTCGATTGGGCCAGGCAATTATTTAATTTCCGAAGCGGTACAGATCGTTTATATTCATTGCCATGGGTAAGTTTTGGTGTTTGGTGGGTGGGAAAAGCGCACTTTTTTATGAAAAATTGTATGGAATGTCACCCTCAACGCTTTTAATTGGGTAACTTGTATTGCATTTAGATTAATGAAATATGAAATTATTATAATAACATTGATGGTAATAGAAATATGTGATGAAAATATTCATAAATTCTTTTAAATTGGAATTAGCTGAACTTTTCGATGTTAATTTTCACTTTCTGAAACATATTATGATGATATATTCCTGAAAACATTGACGAATATATGTTTTTAGTGCCAAATTAGTTACATTTTTTGGTAAATTTAAGTTTTAATTAAGTTTTAGACTTGCAATATTAAAATCAAGTAAAACTGCAATTGCCGCAAAAAGCTGATAGCAAGGAAAAACTTACACTTCCCTCACATGTTACCATCTAAAAATAGCTCATCTTTTAATGAATTTTTAATAGAACATCGTTGGAAATGCCTTTTACTTGTTGATTAACCAACCTTTAGCGGATTTCGCTGTTCGGTTTTTTGTTCGATTTCGTGAAAGCAAATCAAATGTGTAAAACCAAAAACAGGAGGAGCGAAAGCCGCAGCCGAAGAACGTGCGAAATCTGAAATGAATTGGTAATTTATTATGCAATGTCATGGCTTTCATGTGGGCCAGAAAGCAGCAGCAGAAAGGAGGGTTAAGGAATGGAAAGCTGGTGGGCTAATTAATGACCAAATGGATCTGGTCGTGTCAGCGCTTATCGTCGGCGTCCGGTATCGACAACATTTGCCAAATTAATGCAAATCATGCAAACACCAGAAGATCCAACCGTCGAACGAGGATGATGATTCCAATGATGATGATGATGATGATGATGATGATGCAGTGGTCACCGTATCAATACGGGCCTAATGAGTCAAGTGGCCGAAAAGGATTTTCGGTGGGTGCGGATGCGGTTTTGTATCTCGGAATCTCGGCATCTCTCTGTCTGGCCGAGAACCCATAATGCCAATGTCTAAATCCCCCAAGCCAGATAAATTGTATTTTCGAGGGCATTACTGGTTGGCAAATGAATGAATCACATGTCGAGGTATCCGTACACACACACATACTCGTACATGGCTATAATAACAATATGTTGACAATAAGTTTGGGGTCAAGACGGGGACAAGATAAGACCGAACCTGCTTTCCATATCGCAGATGAGTGGACCGCACAATAGCCGCCAACAAATACACAATTTCGCCATTTGCCTTTATCAATTCATCCATCATTCATTCATGAATGACCGTCCGGTCATTCATTAAGTCATGGCCAAAAGGGGCGTGGAACAGCCTCTCGCACACAGGTATATATCTCACGTTTGGCATTAATCATGTGACAATCGAGCTGATAGACGAAATGAGATGCGTTTTTCATCAAAGGATAGACGAGTGTGAATGGTTCATTAATTGAACAGTGTAAAGCAGGGGTGCATATGTATATTCGTCTTACGGCAGAGCATTTACTAACACAAATGTAAGAAAACGTGCATATATGTACATATGATGTGACTGTTCTTATTGGTTTGCAGCTGTGCACTGAGGGAAAAATAAACTGTTTGCCAGTTCCACTGCGAAATTAACTCTTAAGTGCAAAAAGAAGTTATACAAAATAAATTTCAGTGCAAGTGTTTGAGGATGATCCAGGAAAAAAACAAGAACAAAATATTTTACAGTTAGTGACAGAATGAGGCGAAAAGAGGAAAACGAAAAATTTCGAGATCGAGGAAGAAACAAAAACAAATTATATTACAGTTGGCGGCGAAATGAGAGGGAAAGAGGAAAACGAAAAATTGTTAGTGGAATAGCGCAGCGAACGCTCAAAGCTTATGAGAGAGCAAGTCCATATGCAGAGAGAATTTACACAAACAAATGAGCACTCAAAGCATAGGCGTTGAGCACCACTGTTGTAAAGGTGTGTAGAAGGATATGATCTGATTTGGTAGCAGTTCTAAGGTATTGGGAAAGACTTAAGGGAATTATGACACCAATATATATATGTATGTATACGACATTAAATAGTATTTCTTATATACATAGGTACATATAATTAAAGATCAAACTATACATTATTATTTTAGAAACCTTCAACATTTTTCTTCATAACTTCTTTCACTTGACAAAACAATGTACTCCCGAATTCAGGTCACTGCAAGACTTTCTGTTAACCAAATTGCAGCTTGTTCAAGTCAACAGATAAGAAAATATACAACTGCAACCGCAAAATCTTTTGTGTACTCTTCTGAAAACCCCGCCAAAAACACAATCCATTCATAAAGCCAGGAAAAAAAAAGCGAAGTGAGGTGCCAGGGCCAGAACGATTTGGCCTTTTGTGAAAGTGTGAAATATTTGCAAGAGATGCCCAATGAATATCTGTTCGCATTGCGGATATATTTTTGTCTTTTGTATTTTCGGATTGGCTGGCTTTCTGGCATTCTGGTGAAATGGCCTGACACTTGACGTGGCCCGAACATGAGACATCGGGCTGCAAGGCGAGGGAATCGTTGAGTTACGCGCATCCAATGGCCATAAATAAATGCGAAATGCATTAAATGCCCCGCACACACAACAGCAACCAAACAAACAACAGCCAACCAAACCAACAACCAGCAACAACAATCATCAGGACATTGGGACAGCAGCAACTTCAGCTCGATTCCCGCATCGCACGTCTCAGTAATTAATTAAAGCATTAAGTGCTAATTTTACGACAACTCGATTTGTGCGTTGGCCCCCTTGCAATTCGCAATTTGCATGCTGCCATCTCACCAGACCCATCGCCATCTCCCGACATCTCGCCATCGGAATTTGGCAGCCGCTAAAAAACAAAAAAATCAAAACAAAAAAATGAAAGAAAATAAAAAAGAAAATTTGAAAAGGAAGCAAAAGTGTCGCTGGTTGGGTAATGGGAATGGGAGCGTGAGTCACGCCGGATATTGATTGACATATCGAAAGGAGAGGTAAGACAGGCTATTAAAAGGCCAAAAATATATTTTATTTTCAGATTTTTGCAAGTAAGAAAGTACTTTGTTTAAGGAAAAACTAAACTAATTAATTTGTTAATATTTAAAAAGTTTCATTTTGGTGATGGACATTTTCAATCTTTCTAAAAAGTAACAATTTGGTAAAACTAACTTTATTTATTAAAAATTTAAAGGCTTCCATTCCCATTACATTTTCTCCTTTAATAAATTTTTAATTTCTTAAGCAATTAGCTGTTAAATTACAGATATTTATCATATTTCAAAAACCAATTTAACCCTCACGCTTCCATCTCAAGGAAATCTCTGCACCTTGGCTCTTCCCCTGAGGTTTCCTGGACAGTGTCGACTGTCAAACGTCAAACGTGGAGTCGCCTGTCAGCCAGACAGTCGTCAGATGAAGATGAAGACGGAGACGGAGACGGCGATGGCTGGCTGGAACAAGTTGGCCCATGCCAATGAGACGATCTACCCAAAGGCAATAATAACAGAAACAACAACCAGGACAACACCAACAACAACTTTTCAACTGTCGCCAAGATTTTCATCAGTGTCTTTGGGTTTTCCTCCAACTTGCCACTACCCAATATTTTCCTCATTTCGACTTGTGCATCCCCGCCGTAACGCTTGCAGTTTGCAGTTCATATTTTCACTGGCCTTTGTTTGCTTTGATGTTATTTTTAGGAAAGACACAGAGGGAAGTTGGGAAAATCGAGGGACAACATAAAAATGCTCATTTGTTGTTGCTGTCACACAGGCCGAGAGACTCCCTTGTAATTAATCATATGCATTTGCTTTCATTAGCAAGTCAACAAGAAAAGATACTCTTCGGCGCATCTTACAGATATGCTGATGGTTTATCGAAGGGAAAAAAGCCACTTCAGATATGGGAAATAGGTTAAACAATGCTTGGAAAATATTGAGTGGGAAGGTAAGAGATTACTAATGAGTACGAATGTCTTCAAAATAAAGTAAACATTATTATATTATTAAATGAAATCATCAAAAAGCGCCTTTAAAAATCACAAAAGTTGCATAGATCAAGATCTTTACTTCAAAGTATTAAATATTACATCTTAAACTTAATCTCTCTTCTTAAAGTTAATTTTAGACAGATAGAGTTATCCCCTTGATTTTTCAATAAAGCATCATTTTATTTTCCTTCCTTATTTGGCTGCCACAACAAATGCGAGTTCTTAGTCATCGGAAAACACAATGGATTAGGCATAGAAAGAGGAAATAATGAGCGGAAATTTATCAGTTGGCCCCTAAGCTTTATGCATTAATAGTTGGCCATTAAAGGATTACAAACGTTGAGCATTTTTCTCTGGCCAAAGTTCCTCAATCTCCTCGTTTACCATATAGACCAAGTTGATCAGGGGGGATTATGGTCGGAGCAGAGGGTGAGAAAGATCGAAATCATTTGCTTGAATGATCACCGTAGGACAAAACCACAAAAATCGGAAAAAGATTTCACAAATGGTACGAATACAGCCATAAATATTGCTTTTTGCATACGCAATTCAGGTAGAGAAACCATTAAATTTGTAGCAGAATTGGTAGTTGGGCCAAAAATGTCTGTAATTAAGGCAATGGTCATGGAAACTGTGACAGAGGGGGTTGCACTGCATTTCCGATTGTCCAGGATGTTCGAGGACATGAGAGTGTTGGTAAATAATTGGTTATGGCTCTCTGAATGGTAGAAAATATGCAGGCAATGCTTGGAAAAATCTGAAAAAAAAACAAATGAAATGAAATACTGTGTGTGTGTGGTTGGTAGGGGGTTTTCGGGAGTGGTTCGCTTTGATTTCTCAGTAGTTATCTACGCATTTCTCCATTCTGACGTCTGTCAGCCGCATTTTATATGGCCCGATGTGTGTGCGTGAGAGTTTTGTTCAATTAATGCTTGTAAATTTTGCCTAGAAATCACATAAATCCTGCCTGTTGAAATAGAAACTCGACTGAGTTATGAATTCAATAAATAATAAACGGGAAAGTATTTTCGAGTACTTTGAGTTTATCCAGAATAAATTTGTTCATGAATTAAGTTGCAATAAATAATTATAACAAATTTTTTGGGAAAATTTGAATAATTTTATTGCTATGAAAAGTTGTGGGTTAAATATGGCCACGGAATAATAAGTTTTTTAATTGAGAAAACAAGTTTGATATTCCATTCTTTGATTGCCTAAAAAATTTGTTTATTTTGTTTCTTGATATTTTCTTAACTTAAAATAACAATCCATCACCCGTTGAACTTTGTTCCTTTCCCCTATAATTTTCTTTTTACTTCCTTCTTCTCAATTCCTCTCAATTGACGTCTCTTGACTTCCTTATGCAAATGAACCTCGGAGTTTGCTTGATTTCCATCGCAGATCATTAATATTAATTCCCCAATATGCCACACAAAATCTTTGTAAGCATAATTAACCGCAAATGCACTTCAAGCCAGCCAATCCCCCCGAAAAAAAAAGAAAACTCAAACCATTTCCAGTGACATCGACGAGCTACTTACTTTTGGATGGATTCTACTTAAGCCTGATTGCGCAATTTATATATGTTCTGTTTTCTGTGAGAGACATTTTTCGGCTGCAAAGGAATGTTAATGCCACAAGCCCAACAAAACATATTCAGAGTCATTAGCAGGAAGGAGTCCCACGAATTTCAAGGGGGGGTTGGCAAACATGGCAGAAGGTGAACATCAATTTTGAAACATTTCCCCCAAACGCACGCAACAGGCCAAATCGATGTCGATGGACACGCCCCCACATGGGGTAATGCACTGAGGGAAAACAAGAAGTTCTAATAATGAAAGTTTTAAAAAGAATGTTTGAAGTGTATCAAATAGAAAAACCTTAAAGAAAGTTGGAATATAGTGAAGGGTGTTAAGTGAAACCTTAAAGAAAGTTGGAATATAGTGAAGGGTGTTAAGTGAAGTAAAGAAATCGCAATTTAAGGATCATTTTCAGGTAATTAAGAATCCGAATTACAAACCACAACTTTCATTTTCTCAATGTATCAATCCAAATCTTTAGCCTTTTGCTGATTTGTAGGTGTTGTCGTCTTCATCTGGCCCGTTTAGCCGGCCTTTCCGATTTACACTGTGGCCACACAATTATGCTCATCAACATCCGTCAGTCGTAGTCGTCGTCGACTTCTTCGGTCGGTGGAAAAGTGTTAAGTAATGAGTTAATCTGCAACAAGACTCGCATGATTAAGTGCTCTGGGTCTGTTCGCACTGCGGGGACGAGGTGGCAGTGGGTGTGGAGAATGAGCTTGGGCGTTGGGGTCGTTGAGGTGGAAGTGGATGTGAATTCCGAATTCGGAATGGAATGGTGGGCGAAACATAAATGGGAGGTGCTGGTTGCCGCTTAGAGTGGGTCTTTAAATAGATTCGTTATGTCCAGGCTTGGAGAGTACTGTGGTAAGAAGGGATTTAGTCCACAGAAAAGCCATTGAAAAATGTCACTAACTTAGCTAAATAAGATCTTAAAGTTAGTGTACTTATCGTTTATTTATAATTTAAGGGATATTTAATATAAACTTTATAATATTAAAACTCATTTCTTAAAATTTTCAGGTTCATTAATAACATATTTAGTATTATTTTAATGTATAAATATTATTTTCAATCTAGTCCCAGCATTTTTGCCATTATTAATACATATTTTTAGTCAATCTTTAGCACTTTCATTCCACTGTGCGATGGCTAAAACTGATAAATTATGATTGTGGCTGAGCAGACGATTTGCCCGAATGCCGGGCGCACATTCGTTGAGCTGCGCTTATTATTTATCACGCAAATTGAGTTAATGTGCCTGAGATTAAGGACTAGCAGCGATCATAGGGCAGCCATTGATCATTCCACCTCCAGACATCGCGTCTCACAACAGCCTTATCAATTTGATAAATTACGATATAGATATATATAGTATAGTATATGGTGGTAGCTACCAGTATCTATGTAGGTGAGTTAGCAGCAAGAGATAGAGAGAGGTTGGGACTTGCAACGCATTGTGGTCAACGGTAAAAAAAAAGTGTAGTAGCCCCATAACTGTGATTGACATAATTGGGCGCACCATAAACGCACCAGTACAGTGGAACACACATAGTTTATGATCGCCACAGACAATGATCAATTACAATGAGCAATCTGAATCATAAATATTGTCAGTTTGACGGCAGAAATAAAAAAAAAAAAATGAAAACAAAAAACAACAATAAAAGAAAAATGCGTTGATTTTCCTTTATGCCGAAACTCCAATTAAAATTGTGATTATGATGGAGCACTGTTAGCCCGAAAGAGAGCCAACAAAACAAAATCAAATAAATAAAGAGAAATAAATGAAGAAGGAGAAGCAAAAAAAAGTGAACTGCATCCAGACTTAGTTGGAGTATTTTTGAAGAAGGTGAACCCACAGCGAGCCATAAATTATAATTATCGACGAGATTAACTCTTTGCCGCGCCACTTAACTGCGATGACACACGCTCCCCAGACATCTTGCAAGTGCCACAGGGTGAGGCCAGCAGGGGGAGGAAAAAGAGGGTCCAAGTGAGGTGGATCAGACGGAAAGACGAGTCTTCTGCTGAAAGAAAGCCAACGCAGATAAGCAACAAAGACGACACTAAATCGTGTGCGATAGCGGCAAGAGAGATGGGTTAAACTAAAAGGGGTCGACGCAGGAGGTACCTTAGATACGAATATATATTATAAAAAAAAATTTTTTAAAATCTGACAAAATTCTTCAATAATCTCTTAAGATAATTAAACAGAATAGAAATATATAGAAATATATATTACTGAAATATATATTTTAAAGATATTTCTTAATTTTCCAGAACTCTTTCTTGCTGTTTTTTTTGAACTTCTTTTTCTACTTTGGAGAAAAGCTGCTTTAAGAAACTAAAGTTTAGTTCAAAAATAATCCTGTAAATCATAAAAATAATAAAAATTATTATTAAGCTAACAATATATATCGGAAATAAGATATCTATATAGTACCCTCTCATATCAAGGGCTTCAAAAGCTTTTCTTTCTCATTTCAAGTCACCCTTCAGCTTAAATTGTCATGTCATTACCCCCTTCGGAAATACCCTTCAACGATAACTCTCTTCTTACATGACACATACCAATATATGTATAAAAAACAACCAGAGATCAGAAAAAAAAAACAAAAATAAAAGTTATATTGAAAAGAAAGAACAGAACTTGTATCTCCCTGTGGAACATTCTTTATTTTTTTGGCGATAACTTTGACCGAACTGCCGGCGGCTACTTCAATTGATATTTCTTTTTTAAGGCAAACAAAAAGCAAGAAGCTCGAAAAATTTATGACCCCCTGCGGTTTTATCGACGCCTCTGTGACAGAGCCCAGAGATTCACCCCGTCCCATGCCTGTGACGATTGAAATGCGAACGAAAGACACGGGAAATCGAATCCAACGATGTCGCCAGCTAAACAAAAACTATAATCATAATGGGAAATGAAGAAGAACATTGTTTTTTGTATCTTTTAGCTCGAATTTGCCATGACGATGAGTTGAGTTTGAGATTTGAGGGGGATTCTGTTTCCCATTCCCAGACCCATTTCATTCAGTACGCATTTCATTCATGGCAGCGATTTGAGATGCCCTGTAAAAGTAAAGTATCTGTATCTGTGGATCAGTGCATCTGTAGCTGTGTCTGCGTCTGTATTTGTAGTTGTAGCTGTGCCTGTATCTCGTTGCGTTGGTAATTTTCAATTTTTATAGCCATCTTGGGTCGCCAACGCTCTTGACCTGCAGATAACGACAGTTTCCTCGTCTCACTTTGCTTTCTTAGCCCCGATTTATGACACACCACAAAAGCTAATGCTTAATTATGGCAAATTGCAAATCGAGGCCGTAAAAAAATTAACACGAATTTCATTTATGTACCTATATGCATACATACCCGCCCAGTTCCGCTGCAACGTCGACGGCTAAATATTTTAATTAGCTTCGCCGATCATTAAACTTGGGTTGGGAACCAAAAAAACAAATAAGAAAAAAAGTAGAAAAACTGTGAGCGTTTTACGATCTGCCAGAAGCAACAGCTCCACTCAGTTAGAGCTGTGTTCTTGTGTCGAAAGAGTTTGCCTTAAAACGAAAACGCATTAAAATTTAATCATGAAACTCACTCGGCTAACTGGAACATAAACAGGGATCACGGATCAAGTTTGCCAATGAAATTCGAAACACATTCTTTTGGGCCCACAAAACAGAGATTAGTCAACAAACTTTGAGAGTTTACAGCTTTTTGTGTAAAGCATTTTTGTGCCCCAAGAGGATTATTATCCATGCAGGGACATAAATGCCAAAAGAAAATAAAGAAAAAGTCATTACATTTTCCAGGGGATCAACTAGGTATATTTATCTTTAAACCTTTTTTATTATAAGTACGTATTTTGTTAGTAAAAAGGTTAGAAATTAATTAATTTATTTTGCAAAACCTTGCTTGACTTTGATGATAGATTATAAGCATTATATCAAGCAATCCTTTCCTGATATCTGCCCCCTGATCAAGCTTCTAAGAAATCTTAGAGATCAGCATCATTATTATCAACATCACCATCATCATTATCGTCAAAATCAATGACCGTCGGTGCTTCCTGTCTGCGTTTGGGCTACTCAAGTCGATCAATCGCCCGAAACCCATAAGACCCCAATGTCTGCATCTTCTCTCCTTTTTTTTTATATTAACTCAAATTATCAGTTTATGGCCGCTTTTAGTTTTATGAACCGATCACGTACTAACCATTCAGACGCGATCATTTCGCCAGCGCCTTTGCCATTGCCAACGGCACTGCTCAAATCTGTCCCTCTTTCGTGGATGGGTACGGTGGTTAGTCGCTAAAGGGAAAAGTTTTCTATTTGCTAAATGTTATGTATAATTTCTTAATAATAATAAATAAATAATAATAATGTTAAGTTAGTTTATAGCTAATAAAAATATTATTAAGTTTTTAAGCACACATTTTACTATTAAACTTTATCTGCTTTATCTTCCTATCAAAGGCTTACTGTAAATATATTTTTGCTTCTTTCATTCTTTCTTTCGGGGATGGGTACGATGGTTAGTCGCTGAAAGGGATAGTTTTCTGTTAGCTAAATGTTATGCATAATTTCTTAATAATAATAAATAAATAATAATAATGTTAAAATAGTGCATAGCAAATAAAAATATTATTAAGTTTTTAAGCACATATTTTACTATTAAACTTTATCTGCTTTATCTTCCTATCAAGGCTAGTATATTTTGCTTCTTCTTTCTCTCTTTCGGGGATGGTACTTTGTCGCATGGTTTCTGTTATAATATTAAATAAATAATAATAATGTTAAGTTAGTATATATTTAATTTAAATATTTTTAAGCTTTGATGTATTTTACTTTAAAAATGTATTTGTTTTATCCTCTTATCGAAGGCTCACTGTAATACTATTTCTGCTTCTTTCTAAGCCCTCTGCTGCGAGCTTCTCTCTCCTTCTCCAAGAAGTCTGCGTGCGAATCTTTTGCCAGCTTAGTGATGTGATCTCCCTCTTTATATCTATATCGTAGACCCCCCTCTTCCCATCTCTCTAGAAATGCCTTTGTTATTGTTCTTAGCGGAGCCGATCCGCTTCATTTTCAGCGCATTTTTATCGACTGCACAGCTAATTAAAAGTGGAAAAGAACGCCGATGAAGAAGGCCAGGACTGCGGTTCCCGAGGGTCTTCGTGGCGCTGTTAGTTTGCCAGAAATTTAACAAATTATTTAATGATAGATGGTTGTTAAATTGACTGGCCCGTCTGGATCTTTAACCATGGCTTATTGCCGGGTATTAAGTGATTAGAAGTCGATCCGAACAGGCTTGTTATGGGATTAGCTATAGCTAAAGCCCGCTGAACTTTTCAATCGCAATACAATGGTATTTGAAAAGATCGAAAAAAAGTTAATGTGAAATCCTCATATGAAAAGGGCAAAGACAAACAAACAAAAACAAATGACAATTCGAACAATTTCGTAATCCCCAGAGTGTCGCACAATTGAAATATGTAATTAATTATGTCCATAGGCGGTGGTCGCCTGCTGTTTATTTTCTGCTACCAGAAAACAACTAAAATGGAAACCGAAAAACAACAAACATTTTTTTTCGATAAAATCTACAAAACTATTTGCCACACACTGAAAAGTTCGGGCGGGGGGATTGTATTTTTTTTTTTGGCTTTTTTTTGGAGGGACCGCCAGCAGCTTCAAAAGCTTTGCTGGCTCTTTGTTTTTGTTGCTGCTCATATTTCGATTTTAATGAATCCACTCTATGATTATCTTGATTACGAAACTGTTGTCCCTCACTACCCCCTCCTTTACCCATAATAAATACAACAAAAAAAAAAAATAAACGCCACACAAATAAACCATTCAAATGAAAAATACTCCCGCCCACTCATACCCAAAAAAGCTTGAATGCACGACTGCCTGCATGAAGAGTTATCGCTATCGCTATCTCTATCCCCCGTCTGTTGCCGTCTCGCCTGGTGGTCTCTTTTCGGCGGCAAACTACTGAAAATATTAATTAAAAGCCATAAAAGCAACAAAATGTTAATAAGCAGCTATCATCCCCTGCACATCCAATTTTAGTTTCAATTCAAAAATGAAAATTCAAATGAAAATTAAAGCAAATGCAAATTTTACAAAAGCATTTGCAAATAAATGTGCTCTAATTTCTGGGAATAGAGGGTAATTGGGATTGGCTTGGCTGGCTATTATAAGGGGAAATATTTCAATAATTTCCCAAAAAGCTTATTTGGGATTAACATATGATGTATGTATGAGTAAGGTTTCCTCAGCCAGAAAAGTTTAATATTTCCAAGAAATAAATAATTAAATTAAGTTTAAATTATCACTTTGATTCCTCCATCAATAAATCTAGAATGTTTTCAATAACTTTTTTAAAACTAACCCTAAAAATAAACAAATTTTAGTATCCCGATTAAACCCCATCACACACCACCTAATTTGCTTGTTTAATTTCGTAATTAAACACAAAAACAATCATTATTTGTGTGCAATTATGCTGGCCAATATCCTCATCCTGTAACTCATTCAATGTTTGCCATTTTCCAGATATATTTTGGTTTTTCTTTTTTTGATTTATTTTATGAGCAGCGGAAAGTAGTCATTGATTTTTATTGTTCGAGTTAGTTAAACTTTTATTGACTTTTAATTTCATTTGTTGAATTTAGTTTATGCTAATGGGATTAACATTTTTATGGGTAAGCTGTGGCTTTTCCAATTTTGAGTGCCATCTGTGCATATTTTTAGGACCAAAAGGGATTATTAGAGTGTGTTTGCAAGTGAGTGTGATAGATGATGTGTGAAAGGGATGGATTAATATTTTACACTTTCCATCCAGACACCTATTAAAAGGCGTAATATTTTATATAGAAACAATGGGGAAAAACTATTTTAATTACAATCATAAGTCATTGTGGAAATCATAGAACAACACTCCTGCCCATAAATTTCACACTCAACTCATTTCCTGCTCATTATCATATAGCCAGCAATTGTACAAAACCTCAGACGCAATCTCAATGCGTTCTGGGTTGGGTTTTCAGTTTTCCGGGAGACTCAATCGTAAGGATGCACTGAAGAAAACTTCAAGGTGACTAATATAAGATCATATATATAAGTTACTTCAATCAAAGCTCTTTTTGGCAGACGTTTTGATCCCAAATCATTCATCATGATTCGTCCAGTAAACAGTATTCTATATCTTTAAAATTTCTTAAATAAGATTTGGCCAGTTTTCTTCTATTTTTCCCAGTTTACTTAAAGGAAACTGGTAAGGCAGAAGCATCCACACTCGTGGCCTGTCCAAAAAACCCACTCAATAGGGGTTTGGCTCTTTTTGAGTGGGCGTTCAGAGTTTGGTGTCTTCAGATGCGTATGTATCTGTATCTATATATGTATCTTTTTGGCCGTATCTGTATCCCGTTCGCTCACCTTATACATATATGTTTGTCCATGGGATTTGTGGCCTGGGCGGTTCCCTTGAGATGATGTTGGGGAAGGTAATCATGCTGTCACAGTCGCTAATTTCAATTATCTTGAGTGTGCACGTATACGTAATTTGTTTACTTTTGAGCGCACAAATGTCCCGAGAATCGGCAGAATAAAAAAAAGTGAAGAAGGCAGCGCGCATCCTACCAATAAACTTAAACACGTACATTAAAGTGCATTTATAAGTTTCGTGATTTCACTCCATTTTTTTCCCTCAGCTCATTTTTTGGACTTTGGCTTGACAATCAAAATGTCATTTCATTTCGTTTTGGGAAGCTTGCAAATCCGCAATTGAGACGCAACTTACATGTCATTAACATGGCTTAAAGGCAAACCGACATGACAGACAGACAAACAGCAGTCAGTCAGTAGATTGAGTGAAAGAGAGGGGTAGGGAAAGAGGGAGAGAGAGAGATAGAACCAAACATGACAAAGGCAATGTCAACATTTCAGCCTAGATAATTCAGAATGCACAGCAATGTTGCCAAACTTCTTGGTAAGGTCATGGGTTCACCAGTTTAAGCCAGCCAGATTGAGATGTAAACATTTTGGGTGTTGTGGGAGTGTTTAGTGAAGACTTAAAGGTAAATGGGGTTTTCCCCAAGCAAACTATTAATAAAGTATTAGATTAAGAAACCATACTAATATGTTTATGAATGAGTTAGTATAGGTTTTGTGTCAATTTAGTAGAAAGATTACCCCTTAAATAGCCACCTCCTTATACTAACGTGTACTTCAATGTCCTAAGACGACATCTGATCCCCGCATCGTTGCCCATTTTCACTGGAGTGCTAATGAAGCATGGCAACCGGGCACGGATATCTCGCCTTTCAAGCAGAGCAACTCGCCCTGGCTGTAAATTGGCCAATTATCAGCATTTGAAATATGGTTTACCTGCTTCTCTCTTTTCCTCTACCTGAATTCTTTGCCTCTATAAAAGGTAAGAGGCAATGGGAATCGAGGATCGAGAGAATCGAGGGACTTGAGAAGGCAACACACATAGACGCACTTTGACCTTTCTTCTCTGGCAAAGACAATGCACATTGTGATGCATGGGGAATACACACCTGCCCGCTTGCTCCTAAATGCACGCACATTTTTCCTTTATATATAAAAGATACACACCTTTATTTTACACTTCCATTCTCGGTCCAAAAATGTATCTGTATCTTTTCAGGGCAATGGGCATTAATGAACCGACTTCACACTCGGACTTTAGACTCTACCTGGAGCAAAAGTTATTGATTATTTAACAAACGTTGGGAAATTAGGCAGCGATTTATAGAGGAAAGCCCATTTCGGATATGCACTTTGATAAATTAATACAATATCGTCTAGCCCGTCCATTCTGGTCATTCAATTGATTTCGAAATTCATTAGCAGCGCGCCGGTAAAGGGCGGCAAAGGCGTCTATATGATAGAGGGACAAGAGTGTCCAAGAACGGGGTCTCCACTTTGATTTCTATTCATCGCATTGTGCAACGGATCGGCTAGAACTGTGTCTCTGGCTTTATTGCAGTTTGGAAATGGATGAGCTAACAGCTGGAGAGTGAGTACGGCACTCGAGCTGGAGATTAGATACCGAAATGGTTGCCCATCCCCCTTTCCATCGTTTCTCTGACACTAGAGGGTTAAGGGGACACACTCGGGCAACAACAATGGAGCCAAGGGGGCAATCAAAATGCAACAAGTAGGGATTATCCAAGCTCGAAATGTTTTCCGATTTCGTTGGCTTGTAACTATCAAAGCTAAAGCAGCACAAAGGTTGGCAATTTGTTGGCTTGACAACCTAAAAAACGATTTTAAATTATCAAAAGAAATGGGGAAAAAAGAGTTGGTTGGTGGATAAGCTAAGAAATTGATGAGGCGTCGTGTTAAAGTCCATTTGCATGTCAATTTATTTAATTTGTAAATATAAGAGAATATTTATGGTTAGGTGATGGAATATGGTTAAGGCTTTAAAGATAAATCACACTTAATACAGTCAATAAAAAACTGGTAAATATATGAAAAAATATGGAAAATAAAAGCAAAGGTAATCGTAGGAGAGAGAACTGTTAAATAGCAAACACCACTGTAAGAGATCTGGCCTTTATAGATGACGCTTCCGGTGTCCGTATAACTTCTTGGCAATAAAAGTTGCAAGCATCGGTAGTCGGGGGATGTGTCCCGACTACATGAACCTAGGCCAAGCGGACCAGCCAGAAACAGAACAAAACAAACCGATTCCCATGCAAGTAAACAAAGTCTCAAATACGTTCCACAGCATGCAACAAGCAGAACAAACTGGAAAATGAAACACCACACGAAGTTGCCGACGAAATCCAAGCCGAAGTGGACTTCGTATCACCATTCCGAACATAAGCGAAGGCGAAACGAAACGAGAATTTCCTCAGTTGAATTTCGTTTTTCGACCGGTTCGCATGTGGGTTCGCATGACTGGGGTGGATTAACAAACCGTTCGATCCGTCGGGTTCCGCGCGTCGTTCCGGGAAACGGACTTAGATTCTAGCAAATACGAAAAAAAGAAAAGAAAAATAACTCAAACTATATAGTGTGTTGTGTGTGTTGCCCAAAACAAATAAATCCGAAAGAATATATAGTATATCGAGAAATGAGTGCAAATCTATTTTAAATGGTGTGCAATTAAAGGAGGCAAGACGAGAATACTTGACAAGATGCATTTGTGCGAGATGCGTGGCATGCCGCAGCGGTTGCAGCCTCAGCCCCAGCAGTGTTTAGCTAACGAAAGCGAAATTCAAATTCAAATTAAATTTAAGAATAAAAATAAAAATAAGAATAAAAATGAAAATGCCAGCGAGATCAAACGGCGACACAGAAACAATCGAAATGCTGATGGGGACGAAGATCGGCGGCTAAAAATAATCAAAGTCGATCGGAGTCGACGGCTGATATTCCCACTGCTGCTGCTCCTCACGGGATTAAATGGATTAACTCAAGCTGGAGCGCTCAAGGGTAAGTGTCAACAGATGCCCCGCGTTGCAGTTGCAATATACCAAACACCATTTCAGTGGCAATATGACAAACGGTTTCCTTTTTCCGAACTCAAAGCTGAACACTTCAAAAACCAAAAGCAAAATCCTTTGTGGCTGCATATTAGTGCAACCTCCCCCTCTTCTCCACCTAATTTTGCTGCACTCCCCCATTTATTTATTAGCGTCATTTGTTTCCATTTACGTTTTTTCTTCTTCTTTCGTGTTGACTCCATCTTTTTGGCTATTTTTGGTTGCAACACAACGCAGCAGCAGCAGCAGAGAGAGAAACAACAACAAAGTAAAATTAAGGCACTGCGGTTTATTTATGCCTGCAACGTTCGCTAATGGATTTTAAGGCCGCTTTATAGACAACGCGACATCGACTCTGCCTATAGACCCATTATTCATGCCTCTCAGTCTCTCAGTCGTTCTCATTAGAAATGCATATAATGGGTATAGTCTGTTCAGATAGATATAGACGAGTCTTCTTTGGTGTTTGAAAAGGGCAATGAAATCGTTAAGGTAATACCAAAGATCTTGCAGAAGTTCTGGGCAGGTTAGGGAAGGTTAAGAAGTACTAGCAGGTTGAAGATCGTTTTGGGATTAGTTTTAGTCGGTGGACTGTCTGTTTAGAACCTAAAAGTTCCCCTAAGTACCCTTTATCATCAATGTTAACCCACTGAACCCTCTAAGATCTCACATTTAGGCTAGCTAAACACATTTTCCAAAGAATGCACAGATCGTATTACACATCAAACCCAAAAAAACACAAAAAACCAAAATGCAGTTGAAAAAAAAGAAAAAAGATAGATGAGGGTAACCCAAAACCCCTAAGGGAGGATCACGGGTAAAGATCACTCACCAAAAAACCGAACTTTAGATAAATGAGTAATGAGTTTGCAGTTCGAAAGACTAATCAAGCATAGTTTTCCCTTTTCCCTTACCAAAACTGATTACAAGAAAATCAAACAAAGAATCGAGTTTGTGGCTTTTGCGGTTAAAAGAGATGGCAAGTTCAAAAAGAAAACTAAAGCAAAATGGTTTTCTGAGGTTGCAAGTTGGGAATGGGGGGGTTAAGCAATGCCTTTGAATTAAGCCCTTTGGCGATTTCATGGCTGAGCAAATCCTCTGATAAAACATACGAGTATATCTATCTAAATGAGCTTAAGCCGTCACACCCCTTTTGCTGCCAAATGCTGAGAATGTTGTAATCTAATGCTTATTAAACGCTTTTTAATGCCAAAACCAACGACGCCCAGTCCACGACGAGATATCGTCCAATGGACACACGCAATTCGAATTTGAAGTCAGATTTTTGAATTTGGATTCGGGTTCGGGTTGGGATTTCTGTAAACACTTGAGCACGCAACCTGAGGCGGCTGTATCTCAGCTCTTCTCATACTCAATGTGTGTGACGTGGCAAGTGTTGCACGCGACGTCGCTCGTTTGATATAATAAATTGTATAAAATTATCTGCAACGGCACACGACAGGATTTTTGTTCCTTACTTAACTGGTGGTGATGGTGATGGTGGTGTGACCAGTGAAATCCTGGCACTGGTGGTGGGTCAATCGCAGTCGGCTTGAGAATCTGTCGGGGTCATAAAAATTATCGCCCTCGACACAAAGTTGCAGGGTTGACAGAGAGATTCTCTGCCTGGTAACCTTCTAATGCCACTCTGGGGAGCGTTTTTTCAGCTAACTGGACTCGTTGCACTTTTCGTCTTTTTTTTTGTGACTCCGGGGGTGGCAAGTCTATCCTAGCCTTTGTCTTGGCATTTTTTTTCTATGCCTGGCCTGGCCTGGCCTGGCCTTAGAGCCTTTCGGCTCTTGTGCAATTTTCTCATGTGCATTATGCGAAAATTGGGCTAAGTAGCGGTCTCTGGCTTACTTTCTTACTTTCCCGGGCCGAATGAAATGGAGTCAAGTGCTGTGGCAGCTTCGTAGCATGTTATTTGTTCAATCACATGATTGCCCTACCAATCGCCCGGCACTCAACGAGATCTCCCATTTGCTCCCAGCTGCAGGCTAGATAATAAGGGGGGTCTCTTATAGGTAACCATACCAAGCACCGATGATATGTTTTTTTGTGGCACAGAGTTTGGGGCGGGCATGTGATTGAAAGTCGGGCCCACGATGTGGGTGGAGGTGTTGCCAGTAGATTTGACGAGAGGTTTTGATGTAAAGCCTTGGTCTTTGATAGATTTCTAGGGATTTTTTGAGTCTAGCTAGTGACAGGGGTTTGAAAATATTAGTTAACTGGTTAGGTTATGGTTTAATTAAAGAAAGAATAATAAGAGTTCTTGTAAGTTTAAGGTTATTTAATGAGAGAATTTGTATCACTGAAAGATTAATTCATAAGCAAGTCTTTAGATTTTCCATTCTACATCTTGTTATCTTCCTAACTTGGCTAACTTTCTGTAAAAATGTAATGCTAGTTAATTCACAGTGTTATCGATCTTTTACTTTCTTGGAAAACTCTTATCTTACCCAAATTGCAACCATTAAAATATTTTTGAAAACATTTTACATTTTTCCCAGAACAACTCTTCATTGCAGAAGATAACCTTTCTTAAATACGCAAGCTAAGCCAAGAATATTTCTATAAATTTCCAAGTAATCAGCCTATTTCCTAGAATTAGTTTAAATAACAATAAATATTATGTTTTTTAATTACCTTTCAAGCAAATATAAAAGCAAATTAGAAGCAAATTTCTAGAAATCAAACTTCTTCAAACTTCTACAAATTCCTTAGAAAATATTTCGCCACTCCCAGAGGAAAAGCGTGCAACTACCCATAACTGCAGTTTTCCATGTCGATCTCTGGCCAGCTATTTGCCAACTAAACAATAATTAATTATTAAAAACAACAGTCTTACAGGCTTTAGATAGACAGAGAGTCAGAACCCAGTAATAGCGGCTGAAAGGCAACTTGAACATGGTCAGCTGGGCAGTCTGAGCCAAGTTTTGCCTACGCAAAGATTTTTGTTATTTCTTGCTTCCTGGAGATCTGGGGGGACCCAGCGCTTGACAGCCAGTCCAAATCGCCAAGATGTTGGTATATATATATTCCCATATATATCTGTGTGTGTTGGCCGTACTTGATATAGCCGTGGGTTTTATATACATTTTGTTGCCGTTGCTTTGGCTGTGATATTAAAAATAAAGGAAAATTAAGCCTGGCAGCCGCGTAAAATGCAAACTTGCATCCGAAATGTTGCAGTTATGCCAGTTGGCGTTTAAAGCCGTTGCTGTTGGCCACATTTTTGCATGCAATGCAATGGTTATTTCGTTTTTTTTTGAGAAGGCGTTACTGGATTTTTCCGAAAAGTCTTTTTTTTGTTTTTCTCCTTTCCCAACCCCGTTTATATTCGTTCGTGGTGGCTAGCTAGCTTGGAGCAAATCTGAGCTGAGCTTGGTGAGAAAAAGGTTCGCAAATTGCATTGGAAATGCTATATATGAAGGAGTCGAGAGGAGGAGAGCTGAGGAGAGTCACGGAGAGAAAGGAGCTCTAGGAGGGGTGTAACCGGAGGAGGATATGCAATTCTGTTGAGGTCAATCAACATGGAAATTTGATTCACAAGTTATGGGAAAAGCATTGAGGAAAAACAACAACAACTGGTTGAAGGCTTATCTCGGGAAAACCTTTTTCTTAAAATCAAATTAAAAAAGTTATTCCTTCGTTTTCCCAAAAAGAAGTAGTTCATAACCATTCTTAATCCCCAGGAAAAAACCGTTTACAGTTAAGTTAAATGAGTTAACTGAGCTGAGCAACAAGTTTGGCTCGGCTAATACGTATTTAATTACACAAATCTGAAATTTCCGGCTGGCCCGTAAAGAGGTTTGTCTTTGTCTTTGTCATTTATCCTTAAGCCAAGTCTTCGCCAGAGATTTGCATATTTGCACTTGATGATGTTGCTGCTGCAAGTTGCTAGTTGCTAGTTGCAAGTTTGCTGCTGCTGTGGCGGCACAGACAACGCCGCCAGCAATAGCCATTTGGGTTTCGTTTTTAGTTTGGGTTTGGGTTTAAGTTTCAGCTGCCTACGCGCAAGCGAGCGGCAAGGAAATTATGAAAAATTTTCAAAGAATCGCCTTGAGTCATCGTTGCCAGTCAGTTTGCCACAACGTTGGCGTTTTGTGTTTTTTGTTTTTCTTGAGTGGTGGGGCTAAAAACGTTTTTTTTTATAATTTGTTAACAAGACCCAAAGAGATCGGCGCCGCAGAGTCCGGTGGAGAGACCACAGTCCCGGCAATTATGACAAGTTGACAAACGGCTTAATCTCAATCGGCGACTCGCTGTGCGATCCTCGGAATCACAGAAGATGCGCGGCATTTAAATCAATGAAGCCGAGACTATCGACTCTCCCAGTCTCGACTCTCGATTGTCCATCGTCGTCGTCGATCGTTGGACGTTTATCGCGTTTCGGGGATATCTAATATCTGAAAAGGGGACTACGGACTACGACTTGGGAACTCCAAGTGCAAGAGCCGTGTTCAAAAAGCCATGCCAGCGAGTGCGACACATGCAAATTGGCCAATGTTGCTAAACAAGTTTCGCGGTTGTTGCATTTTGTGGCTTGTACTCACCTGCGTACGACGACAACAACAACAACGACAACAAACATGCAAAAATTGGATTGCTGACTCTGCGTGCAAATAAGGCAACAACAGCAAGGCAAGTTGGCTATAAAAAGGCGCTGCCGTTGCAGACAATCAGCCATAAATCTAAATGACTGTCAACCCAGGCGAAACCTACAATGGAGTCTTGTTCTTGCAGCAGCAACATGTTGCCAGTCTCCCTCTCTCCGCTACTCCCCTTTGACTCACACTCATTTGCTGCCATTGCCGGCCACTGATAAGACACTAAAATATGCTAAAAAGCTAAAATAAACTTGATATTGATATTGCAGTGGCATTGGCAATGCCATAAAGCAAAAAGCATTTAGTTAGGGATCATACTGAGGGGGCAGGAGGGGTGTTC